TTGTTTATTTACATCAAAACACGTGTTCCATGTAGTAGTAATATGGCCAAAAATAGAAACAGCCATTATTTGTCCATCTTTGATCTGATTATGAAACACACTGATATGTATGATGTATGTGCCAATAGGAATGAAAATGGTACATAAATTGTGGAAATATCATAGTAAGGCCAAAAAGTCAGATGGCTGTCAATCGACCATCCTTGATCAGATTTTGAAACAAATTGTCATGGACATGCATCCTAACATGTATAAAGTACATGTATGTGCCAAATTTGAATGAAAACTGACAGAGCACGCATAAAGAGATACCGCATAAAAAACAACAAAAAACAAGATGCCTGCCAGTTGACCATCTTTGATCCAATTGCGAAATAAATCGTCATGAACATGTATCCTAACATGTATAATCTATGTACCAAGTTTGAATGACAACTGACAAAGCATGTCCAAAATACAACATTTTCAAAAAACGAGATGGCTGCTAGTCGGTCATTTTGAATCGAATCGCTAAACCACTGCATGTGCATATGTCCCACATAAGGTACTAGGCACATGCAAAGAATGAACAGAATCGGTCCACAGGATTCTGAGATATGACTCCGGACGGACGGGGACTAATAAAAGACACATAATAACCTGGAGACAATAAAAGACACATAATAACCTAGAAGCAATATAAGGCACATAATGAACTAGAGGCAATATAAGGCACATGATCACAAGATAATAACATATTATTTATTTGGATCATGAATATAGTACAGTGTAACTTGAAACATCAAATCAAAATACTTTACCTGAATTCAGAATGCCTTTCTTGATGAATCAGAAATCGGGGAACCCAATAAGTTCTCATTCTCCGTAAGATATCGTACTGGGTTCGAGTGAATACAGTTTCACTCAAACCTTCATTCTCTTGAGCTTTCTTAATATGCTCCTTGGCATCGTCAGATAACTTGAACTTGTACTTGTCTTGAATGTCCCTGCAAGTGGTAGAATATTGGTATCAGTAATTGATAAAGCACAACAGATGGTACATGTATTTAGAGTTTTTTCTTTTTTAAACAGAAAAATGATTTGCATGTTTTGTTGACTTTGGCCTTCACAAGAGACTGTATCTAATTCACAGACCACACGGTGACCTTTGAGTATGGTATTTAGCGATACTTTAAATAATTCCTGCGATATTTGAGAACATTTATTTTATATATTGTCAATGTAACAAAGTAACTTAGCTTTCAGGCCTTTTTGTGATCAGATCAAGATATCTTAGTATTAAACTTTTACTATATTTGACATATCAAAATTTTATTGTAACCATGGTTACCAAAAAAAAAAAAAAAAAGTTCTTTCGGGTCTAATTTTTGTTCTTAATTAATATGTTACAGATATTAGTAGTGTATTTTATATTCACCTAAATAATCTATTTCGTTTCATTGTTGATTCTGCATCACCAATGGCTTTCACATTGTCGCGATATTTCTCACAATCTAACCAGAAGTTCAACATGTCCATACCAACTGTGTTGCGTAAGAATTCATTAAATGCTTCCATTCCAGCAATCTGAAAATCAGAGACGAACATACAACACAATATTACATCTAACCCCTCAACATATCTGTGGCTTGGCAGACATAAAACTACAACAAATGAGAAAAAAATGAATGAACATCATAAAACCACTTTTATTTATTTTCACATACCGATCCTAACATATCTTCCTTCAACTGCTGAAACGTTCGTTTGTGCCTACTTTCCATTTCTCTGAGATCTGCTTCTGTCTGGACATCACTTATGTATTCTTCAGGATCATCATCGAACTCTACGAAACTGGGTGCCTTTTCAGTATCACCGAATACATAATCTTCATTATCGGGTAAAGTGGCAAGATTATTGTTCCTGTAATGTACAATTTAGAACACGCTTGCAAAAAGTACATTTTGTATCTCTAACAATCCATAGTTCAGTAATATCTGAGTTATAAAAAAGGGAAACAAGTTATCAATCACTTTTTTCAGTACCCTCTCTTTGGACTGAAATATGAAATGCCTCCACTATAAACATAATGCCTATATAAATGGAACAATTCACTCATTTTCTTTTTCTTTCAGTTTAGAAAGGGTTCAATGTGAATTAATTATACTATAGCAATTTGGAAAAGTAAAGAGATCATGGTCTGCAACCATGGTGTCATACACTGACGCTACTCAACATGATCTTGGTGAAATGGTGATGAAATGTTCTGATATAATACATGCAATACATTTCAAGAATGAAAGTGAGTGATTGTGAAGTTCAACTGATGTTATTTTTGTTCACATCACTGCATGTTGGTATACATGTTTCCACAATCTTCAACAGAACTGCACAACTGAAAAAACCTCACTCAATTCTGTTCTCACAATCAATAAAATATATGATATATATTGATGATAAAATTAAGCAGATATTGCTGAAGTTACTAAAATGTGATACAGGTTTTGTTGACAAATTTTAAGAGTTAAGATCATATTTACTGATGTATATTTTTATGGAGAGATCATATTTTATTTCAGTCCTGCTTTTTTTGAAAATTGTTTAATGTATTAACCTTTCAGAAGCACATGCTAGACTAACATAGTATTGACAAGTCTCATGTAATTTCTGTGTGCATGATCTTCATTCTATGTCACCATGCTTTATGTTATTCATCCTTACTTCATCCGCCTTCGATTCATTTTTTATGCAAATATGTGAAATATGCAAAAGTAATGAAGTAAACAACATTTACTGAGTACATAATTTATGACTATAATAAAGATATGATCCAATGAGTGTCATGATTACAGTTGATCATATGATATGAAATCACTGAATGAAATGAACACAGATTTAATACATACATGTGGGAAACTGAAACTAAGTGACGTGCATGTTATCTAGTGCTTGGTGCAATTTCAAAATTGATGTGAAAAAAAACCTTACCTTGCAAAAATTTTTGGTAAAATAATCCTATATCAAATTATAGCAAACAGTGCAGGTAAGAAGACGTGGTGAAAAAAAAAGAAGCAGTGAAACTGTAAGGTGTATTGAGAGTGGTGCAGATCTAACGTTCAAAACACTGGTTTGGGAGATTATTGGGTAGTGATCAATCAATCAATACAAGTTGAATGATCAATTGATCTATATACTGAATTACAAATTGATTTTCAGTACCGTAAAATCTGTATTAGAAGCCGCATCCCTAATAGGAGTCGCACCCATTATTTTTGAACAATTGAGAATCAAAAATTCACCATTTCTCATATGTGTAGATGCTCTAATAGAAACCGCATCCCCTCTGTTGCATTATTCCATTTTAATAGAAGGTGTGGTTTCGTATACAGATTTTACAGTAATACCTATTCAAATATATTGTTTGGAAACCGATGTCATATTTTTCAAATAGATAAGGAGTCTGATATTGAGCTCAGATGCTGAAGATTGATAAATACATTCTTATAAACATGTATTTACAAATTTAAGATGATTCACCAGCAGCAAGGTTTATCTATTATGTGGTCATAACAATTATTTAAACAAGGAGTTGTTTTTTTGTAATTACAAACTTATGACTCACCCTACGGATTTCCTTTCATGTCCCGCATTCTCTTCATTTTTTTCGTTTGAGTTACAAATCTGATCGTCGATGTGAGGTATCCTGATTGTAGTGTGTTTCTTCTGAGAATACCTGGAGTTTGGCGTTCTCAAAGCACTTTTCTTTCCACCACTCCCATCTGCGTATGTGAAATAATAAATTAAAAAGAATTCACAAAAATGTGCCTTTCGCAAAATTGGTTTCTTGTGTAATGTTGCATCAATATTTTAGTGCCTAAAAGAATTTTAATGTTATTTTTTTTCATTTGATAATCACATTGTAACAAGTTATATTATTAACCTGAATGGGTTTCCATGGTGAACTGTGTTCCTTCCCGGGTAACATGATCGGGTGCCGTTGTAGCCACACCTGAATCACTGACTGGTTGGTACGAATTGACATCATTGTCTACCTCATGCTTACCACTGCGAATCGCAGATCCTGATTTGGCACGCCGAGATTTACTGCTAAAATGTCCTGATGAATTCTGGTTGGAAGACAGATTGGCTGATACATTGGAAGTGTACAAGCCTAGAAAAAAATAAATTATATTATAAAA